TCATTCTCATAGACCTTACTGCACTCTAGTGTGGTGAAGCAGAGAGTATATGCACACAATAGTCTTAAGTGATGGATGACGTGAAGAAACATCATCCAGGTAAGTGTAGAATTTGCCGGGTGTGCTATGTGAGAAGTCCTTTCAAACAAGGTGCCATTTGACTGGAGACCAAACAGAACAGAGGAATCCAGACTTATAAATATTTGGGAGAAGAAATATCATTAAGAGTAAATGGTAAATGAACAGATTTCTGAGGTAGGAACATGCAGGGGTTTTGAGATTTTTAAGGAATAGAAAGGATGCCTATGAAATTCATAATGAGAGGCGAAAGAATGGACTAAGAAGAGGTCAGACAAGTAGAAAGGTGGCAGATTTGGTAGCATTTAGTAATCTGTGGGAAAGAGTTGGATTACACTGAGAGGGAAATGGAAGTACATTGCATAGTTGGAACACAGGCTGGCAAAAATCTGACTTGTATTTTAAAAGGTTATTCTGGTTGCTATGTTGACTATTACCTGCAGGAAGGTAAAGGTAGGAGCAAGGAGACAAAACAGAGCTATTGCAGTGGTCCTGGGGAGAAATGATCCTGACTTGGCATAGAGTGGTAACAGTGATAATATGAATTTGTAGCTCATTCTATGTTTTATAAAAATTCTCACCTGATTATACTTCCATTGCTTTCCAAAGAGAGTGGAAGGAAAAGGGGGAGGTGAAGAGAAAGAGAAAGAGAGAAACATTACTGTGAAAGATACACATTGATTTGTTGCCTCTTGCATGTGTCCTGACCAGACTAGGATGCAACCTGCAACTCATTTTAGAGCCTGATTGGGAATCGAACCTGAGAACCTTCATTGCAAGGGCCAACACTCTTAACCAATGAGCAACACCAGTCAAGGCTCTGAATTTTTTTCTAAAGTAGAACACATGTGATTTGCATGAAGGATTGGTCATGGTTTGAGAGATGGCAGTTAAAAATGACTGCAAGGATGTGGGCTGAGCATTTGTTAGTGGAAGCTTCATGTTTTGAACAGGGAAAGACTACAGACCATAACAAATTTTCAGTTTTGGATATGTTTACATTCAGTTGCTGATCAGACATTAAGCAGAGATGCTCTGTGGGCAGATGGACTTGGAGACTTGAGTTCAAAGGAGAGACTGGGTCCAGAGGTGCACTTTTTGGAATCTCGGCACCTAGGTGACATTTAAAACTGTGGAGCTGGATGAAGTCCCAGGCAAGAGAAGAGGCGCTAACATTGAGCAGAGGTAGTCTCTTGTCTGAAGGTCAGAAATCTGAGAAGAAATGAGCCCCAGGGTATGCTCACAAGCAGGCAATGGGGAAGGAGGGGATCCAAGAGAGAGTGAGGCCAAAGGAAGACAGTCACTTAAGGGGCAAGCCTGGCCTGCATAGCTTAGTGGTTGAGCGTTGACCTATGAACCAGGAGGTCTCTGTTCAGTTCCAGGTCAAGGCACATGCCAGGGTTGCAGGCTTCATTTCCAGTAGGGGGCGAACAGGAAGGAGCTGGTCAATGATTCTCATCACTGATGTTTCTATCTCTCTCCCTCTCCCTTCCTCTCTGAAATCAAGAAAAAATAAAATTTAAAAAAGAAAGAAAAAAAAGGGGTAATCAGTCCTGGCTCTGTAGCTTGTTTGGCTGAGTATCATCCTGATTTGCCAAAGTTGCAGGTTAGATTCTTGATCAAAGCACATACAAGAATCAACCAATGAATGCACAAATAAGTGGAACAGCAAGTCAATGCCTCTCTCTCTCTCTCTCTCTCTCTCTCTCTCTCTCTCTCTCTCTCTCTCCCTCTGTCTCTCTCTCTCTCTCTCCTTCCCTCTCTCCCCCCTTCCCTCTTCTACTTTCTATTTAAAAGCAATAAGTTAAAAACAAATAATAAAAGTGATCAAATGTGTTCGCCACTGCTGAGATGCCAGTAAGATGAGTACCCCAAAATAACCCCTTAGTTTGGCATCATGGACGTGATTGTGTTCTGATGAGTTGGGGATACAGATGCCTGACTGAAGTTATTCATGGAACTGCAAGGGCCTTTATAATCCACCAAACAGCAAAGACTCCTCACTGCATTTCTAAACTTTGGCAAATACTTAAAACTATGCTATGGAATTTGGGGCTGACTGGTAGTATAAATATTGGAGTTTCTTTGAAGTTGAGTCAGGACTTCTGCATTAGTCATCTAGAGTTCATTTCTTTGCAAACCTCTCAAAATGTACTAGCTTTAAGCTGTCTAAATTCCTTACCTTCAATTATCTCCCCTCATAAGACAAACGAGTCTATAAAAATGGAGATTAATATAACGAAGGAAAATTCCGTTTTCCTGGGAGAACATGACTCAGTCCACGCAGAACAGTTTGGAAGGCACTTTTGCTTTAACATTTCTACCCCATTTCCTTATGGTGCAGACAGAGAGCGAGCATCAGATACTGCAGGTCAGGCATTAGTTATGGGGATTCCTTAGTAGAAAATGCATTTGTTCTCTTGAGACCAATGAATATGTTAGTAATTAATTAGTGTGGTATAAATTTCATAGTCCCATCCTCTTAGTAAAACTCAACCATCAAGTTGTTGGCTTAATGTGACTCCATATGTCAAAATCACTGAGTCCGTATTTGATATCTTTTGCAAAAAGTAGGCATAACTGTAAAGCACATAAAATATTGAAACTATTATAATAGAGCCAAAAAATATTATCCTTACATATGCTGCCAAAGTTTATTACAGGTTCTTTAAAATATAGCGTATAAATGAAAACTACTCCACATACGTCTCTCATAGTATATTCCTTTGCTTTTTCATTTCCTTTCTACAGAAGGGGGACTTCCAGAAGGTATGGCATAGACAAAAGCAGGGGAAGCTGATTGGAAAAAGGAGGGTGTAAAAGAAATTTGCCAGATTGAAGTTATCATCTGAAACTGTGATCCAAGGATGCAAATAATCTTCCATGTGTCTAGCATGATCTAGCCAAATGCTGGGTTTTGAGGGGATTAGAATTTGCTCTTGGTGCTTCATATAATCTTGCTCTTGGCCCACCTCCCTCTTATTGGGGACATTCTCCTTGCAGTGGTGTTGACATAGGGTTACATATTTCATTACCCTCTGTTTGAAATTTATCAGTCATATTTCTAAGAATGTTTTCTCAACTAGGTCATGTATGCTAAAAATTGCTTGATTTAACTTCAGATTAAATCCAAACAAAATAGCCAACCAACCAGCTTTCATTAAGGGAATGAAAAAGAAAACAGAAAGGGTGAAATATACAAGGAACAGTTGGCATGTGGTCAACTCCCTGATTCGCCTATAAGCACAAACCTGACTCCGGACATGTGATTTCAACAATGGGTTGGGAAGCTCAGTACTGGAAAATACTGATTGGAAGGGAAATGGTTGGTTACTTTTTTCTTTTTGTCACCGGCTTATATTTGCTTTCTCATTTGTGCTTTATTATTTAACTTCAATAGGTACAAAAGAGTCTACTGAGTATTATTGTTAGGAATAAGATATACCCAAATTCAAATCCCAGTTCTGACACTTACTAGGTTGATTTGACCCATTTACCTACCTCTGTATGTCTTAGTTTCTCAAACATAGAAGGTAGACAGTCCCAACATTATGAAATTGTTGTGATGAGCATTATGTTAAGAAGTTTTGAAAAAGGACCAGTGTAGAATATAGACCCTAAAGATTTTAATCGTAAATTGAGTAATATATGTCCTGGAAACAAACAATACATTTGACAAGTGTGTTATAGGTACATAGTAACAAAGGACATTTTGGGGAGACCATGTCTTGAATATGGTCATTTTTTGTTTAAATAGGAATACTTTTTTGATTCATACTGTAAAATATTTGTGCAGAAACATGTATCATTACATAACACAATTTGACATCTCAATAGATTAACTCACTAGGAATCATTAAGGTAAAGGAAATGTGGAGGAATAATAATATCACATCAAAATTAAGAGATTATTTATCCATCGCAGGACGAAATGATACCATATATGTGAATAGTGATTCTTATTTGCATGAACTATATTTATCCATCCATTCATATGTATTATCTAAGTTTTCATATATCCAATTGCAATTGCAAAATGCATATAAGTGAATGTTAACAAAATCTCAAAATACAATTAAATTTAGGACCCCTTAACCCAGGGGTGGGGAACCTTTTTTCAGCCAAAGGCCATTTGGGTATTATAACATTATTCAGCATATAAAGTTATCAACTTAAAAATTAGCTGTGATATTTGGTTAAACATTTAATTAACTCACCTCTGATGCCTTAACAGGGCCAGACCAAATGATTTTGTGGGTCTTATATAGCCTGCGGGCCAGACATTTCTCACCCTGAGGCTTGACTTCTAATCACATATCTGATCTCAATTATCTTTGAAATTTGGGAGAATCGAGTATTACCATACTACACACTCTACTGTTTCAGTTAGCATCACTGATGAGAAACCCTGACCAGTTTGGCTCAGTAGATGGAGCATCAGCCTGAGGACCATAGGCTCACAGGTTGATTCTAGTCAAGGGCAAGTACCTCTGTTGCAGGCTCCTCCCTGACCTGGGCCCTGGTGGGGACTCATGCAGGAGGCAAGCAATCAATGTGGTTCTCTCACATTAATGTTTCCCTCTCTCTCAAAATCAATGGAAAAATATCCTTCGGTGAAGATTAAAAAAAAAAAAAAAAAAGAAGAATAAATGAAAAAATCACTGATGAGAAAGTGCTGATCTATACTGTGAACACCAAGTTGAACTGAATAGATTTCATACAGTCTTCTTCCAAATGATTGCCATAAAAATGCATGAATAACAGTTTTGTTGATTTTTATGCTAAGAAGTTGTGGACTGGAAATAATATCTAACTTGGTCCCAAACATTTTGTTCAGTCTACTCTATAAATAGTAATAAACCTCAGTATCTTCTAGACAATGACACTTGGAATCATTTAGAAATTCAAGCAACAAAATTAGCTGTCATCAGACTTTGGTTTATTGCAAAATGTAGCAAACTTTTTTGATGTAATCCCTGACCCCTTGCTCTGAAAACAAAAGCGAAAACATAATTATTGCTCATTCTTTCCCCCTTCTTTATTTGTGCCACTGTAAAAAGAAGGGAGAGGGGGAAAAATCATTGTAATAAATAAAAATAGAGATGTAAGAGAGAAAAATAGATGAATCCAGATTAGAAATATTAGGAGCAACAGAAATATCATCAAGCAGTTTCAAAATATGCTTCTTTTTTTTTTTTTTTTAAAGGTTATCATGTAAAAAAAAAAAAAAAATCACACCAAAAATATAGCAGCAGAGAAGAGAGATAAATACAAGTTAATTGCACACAAATCCCATGCAAAAAACCTGGGTCCTTAGCCAAAGCAGTAGTATTCAGAATCCAATTTGGGAGGCTTGTGCAGCGCCTGCGAGTCCTCTATGACGGAGCTGTCACTGAACTGGTCCAAGTCCGATGGGGTGTGATGGCCTGGGACATCATCCGCCAAAGTGTCCAGATAGCTCCCCACAGAGATGCCGTCCAGCCCGTCGCTGCCGTCGTGCAGGCTGTTGTAGCTTCCGTGGAGGGAGGTGCTCTGACTCTCCAGTAAGCTGCACAGGCTGCCGCTGAGGCTGCTGCCTCGGCTGGTGATGGTGGCTTTCTCTTCAATCATCCACTTGATGGACTCAATGCTCTCATTGATGACAAGCAGCTGGCGCATGAGCCTGGCGTCCGTGGCTCTGAGATTAACCTGCAGAAAAGGAGGAGAGAGGAGAGACCTTCCAGTTAGTCTATGTTCTTGAAAGACCCAGCATTCATTCGGATTCTATCTTCTTCAGCCCATCATTTTAGATTCGTAGGCTAAATTCACTCGATCTTGGGATGTTTTGGAAAACTGCTGACCAAGGGCGGGAATACTAATCAAGGAACTCGCTTCCTGCCAGACACATCAGGCTCCAAAAGAGACAGTACAACTCCCACTGCACCCCTGACCCTGACCAAGAGGCCTGGAAATTTCATACTGAATAATATCAGGTTCTCAGCTTAAAAAAGTATGCTCTCTTTGGCCAGATGAATAGCTTATCCGAGTTCACTTGAGAATTTGTGTGTGGATGCTAAGAGGTGGGGAGAGGAGAAATGTGTAGAAATTAGGAATTATCCATAATCATTGTTACAGCTATTTTTTTGAGTGACAGCTTGCCAGACATTATTATAGAAGCTCAACCCTTGTTGTAGTAATTCTATACCATAGGCATATTATTTTATCCCCATTTTACAGATGAAGAAACAGAAAAGATTTGAGGTCTGTTCTCTTTATGATTTATGAACATATATAGTACTCAACGCCTTGTTTCTAAGAAGAAACAAATTGCTCTAATATTTCTTGAATCCAAAAGGGTACCATCATACTAGGCTGATACACTTGGCAAGATGCAGTGTACAGATAGTTTCTGTAGATTTATTTTGTTTCAAGTATATCAGGGGCAGCCCCAATCAAAATTGGGGTATGGAATTCCAAGAAGGTTCTAAAATTAAGAAGGTTCTAAGTGCCTTCTAGGTGTGTGTTTCTTCTGATAGTTCTAAGCTACCTTGGAGAAATCTGTCTTTAAAGCCACAAGAGATACTTTCTTTGTGGGTCTTATACTTTAAAGGGACATTTGCCAACATCAGTGTGTGGTGGTTCTGGGGAAGGTGGGAAAGGGGAGGCCTCAGGAACTCCATCATTTCCTTTGTTCTTGGAGTTGGAGAGATGTGGCTCCTATGAAGGCTGTGGTGCCTGGCCTGGGAGGCAGGGACACGTTTGGCCACCAGGGGTCCTAGTCACATTTTTTATGGTTTGAAATGGATTCCTCCTCCCCCCCCCTCCCCCAGTTGGAATCTTTTAACCCAAGAATCTAGGCTTTGCTAATTCTCTTTAACATCCATGGCTAATTCAAATTGATAGTTTTCTAGAATTATCAAAGGCACTCAGTCACAAGTGACTCAAGCCATAAGGGAGAAAGGAGCCTATTGTCTTCAACTATATGCATTCATTTTTGTAAAAAATATTTCCTGGTTAGGAGTTAATCCATAACTGGAGGCAAACTTTGCATATAGTGAATGTGCTGAACAAACATTAGGGGAGATGGAATTCCTACCAGGGACTTCAAAGATCTAAGATTACAGGGTAAAATATATATGTATGAATATAAAAAGCACAAAGTACAATTTAAAAATATTTCCTTTTGATAAAATATTCAATAAAGTGATTGGGTGATTTCCTTATCTTTTCCAAGAAAGCACTGAGAACAAATTCTGTGGAAGGTAACCAGTGAAAATCATTCCACTGAGGTGCTCACAAACAGAAGGATGTACACTTAGTAGGTCTAAGAGGAGAATTGTGTAGAAATTAAGGAATCATTATATCATCACATATTAGCTTTTCTATTTGTGGTGTCATCTCATTGACCTTGCAGTGACCTGTTGGGGAAGGAATGTTCCAGTTCACTCATACACCCCCATGAGCCATCAAGATACTGCAATATGACAAATATTTATAAATCAGCAACAATTTGCCTAAGTCCACTGTGGAGCTGAGAAAATCAGGATGAGCCAAAGTCTTGCAAACGTCTCCAGTCAGGCAACCGTAGCTGATAAAACACGCTGTGTCCGTTGCTGGTGCAATATGAAGGAAAGCATGTCCCGAGGGCTCCCCAAATGAGCACAGCTGCATCTGTTCGCATGCCCACCCTGTCCCAGGCGAGTGTCCCAGCCCAGGCTCCGCTCTGGGTGTGTCCCTGCTATTCCCCTCACTTGAAATACTTTTGCTCTCTTCTTCCCTAAATCCACTCCTTCCTTCAAGTCTCACTTCTTCCCTCAACCCTAATTGCTACTCCCAGCCTCCTCTGTAGTCCTATCTAATAAAAGAGTAATATGCATATTGACCATCACTCTGACACACAATATGGCTGCCCCCATGTGGTCAAAGATCCTGCCCCCATGTGGACACAAGATGGCCACCACAAGATGGCCAGCAGGGGAAGGTAGTTGGGAGGGACCAGGCCTGCCAGGGAGGGCAGTTGTGGGTGATCAGGCAAGCAAGGGAGGGCAGTTGGGAGGGACCAGTCCTGTAAGGGAGGGCAGTTGCGGGTGATCAACCCTGCAGGGAAGGGCAGTTAGGGGTGACCAGGCTGGGAGAGGAGGGAAGTTAGGCCAAACAGGCTGGCAGGGGAGCAGTTAGACATCAATCAGGCTGGCATGGGAGTGGTTAAGGGGTGATCAGGCTGACAGGCAGAAGCAGTTAGGGGTAATCAGGAAGGCAGGCAAGCAGTTGGGCAGCAGTCCTGGATTGTGAGAGAGATGTCCCAGTTGGAGAGGGTGCAGGCTGGGCTGAGGGACATCACCACCCCCTACCCCCCTGCACGAATTTCGTGCACAGGGCCTTTAATTAGTTTATATCTCACGGTTTAGCTTAATTTTGTATAGTCTTACATTGCTACCTATTATTGTGCGTTTGAGCTGTTTCTTTGACTAAATTTAAAGTGCCTTTAAGAAAGAAGCCATCTCTTCTATTTCTTCCATCTCTTTAGGTATGTCATAAGCAATGATTTTTTTCTTTTTCTTTTACAAATAGTCATAATTTGGGGGACCTCAAAACATAATAATTCACATTCCCAGGAAACTGTGTCACTCAAGGGTTAAAACACACTTAGGATAATATTTCAGCATTTTTTGCCTGAGCCACACAATGGCTGCATCAAATACAATTTAAAAAAAAAATCATTGCACAATATGAATAAGAAGGGAGTCGACTATGAAGTAACAAAAGCTTCCTTTGACCGTGACATGATTTATTTAAATAAAAAAATTCTTTTCTTCTGAAAGCAAACATTCACAGGCCATTGAACCACAGTTGGGGAAAGAAGCTGACGAAAGCGGGTCAGTTGGAACGCGTTGATCTGGCTGATAATGATTACAGACCGACTGTGTCTCCCTCTCTGTCCTTGGTGAGAGAGTAAACAGCTTCCCACTGTGGGAGCCCGGGGCCAGCCGGTTCACACGCTGCCCATCCATTTCCTGGAGCTGCAGGCGGTGGGCTTCACACTTACTGCTTTCTCCCGGAGCAAGGAGCGAGGCGTGGCTGGGCCACTGCTGATGAACCTTGGAAGAATGAGCAATCCACCACAGAATAAAGCACAGTCACCTCAGTCTGCAGCGGCTGCTGCCCCACCTTTCTCACTATTATTCATGTCAGTCCTTATGAAGTCTGAGTATTGATGAAGAAGAGAGTAGACAGAAGGGGGGAGAGAGAGAGAGAGAGAGAGAGAGAGAGAGAGAGAGAGAGAGAGAGAGAGAGAGAGAGAGAGAGAGAGAGAGAGAAACTGACTGACTGGCTATGTTGGCAGGAGGCCATGCAGTTCTTTCATTTGAGGTCCAGTAACCTCACTCTGAAAATGGCTAGAGGTGAGAGGCCCTCCTTATGATCTGAATCTGTGTCCTCGCTCTTTGGAGAGGGGATGTGATACACAGCCCCCAGACCACCTTTCTGGTTTTTCTGCTCCCTCCATAACATTCATCACTGGTTGAAATCATTCTGCTTCTTAACTTGTCTGCTTATTTTCTGTCTCCCCCATGGGCATGCGAGTGCCACAGAGTGCGCAGGACCTGATGTGTCCTCTTCACTGCGCTGTGCTCAAGACGTACAAGAGTGCTGGGCACATAGCCGGTGCTCAGTTAGTGTCATTCAGTGGCTGAATGAGTTGGTCAGATTGGACCATCAGGAGCGCCCCTCCCTTGAGCTCTGCTGTGGGCCCGTGACATGTTTGTTTCTAGAAGAAAATACTTTTTTGTTTTTTAAATTAAGTAAATGATGTCATGGTCAGAGGCAGCTTCTGGAAAGGGCATTTCAGTATTGACACGTTCCCAGCGTGCCACCCCACGCCTCTTCATTCACAGGCCTGGGACGCTGGGGAACGGTGCAAGGTCATTCCTATCTTCAGCGTGCAGATTGCGAGCTGGTATCTCCGAAAGGAAGTGGACGCCAAGGTGTGAATCACACGCCAAACATGACTGTTTGTTCGGAGGTAATAATGGGTACGAGCACGCCACAGGTGTTCTGCAAACACTTGCTGAAATGAGTTAAACAAAGGGAGCAAACACACACAGAGGACATTTACAAAAAAAAAGTTTGCACGAATTGATCCAGCAGAGTGGATGTCCTTTCCTCTCTCCAGCCCTGGCCCTTAGTTGCTGCACTTTAAACAAGGTGAATGCTGACATTTCAGTCCTTTTTTAAGCAGGAGGTGAGCTGGCTCTGTGGTAGAACTTGGAATGAAGGATCTTGAAAGAACAAATATTCTTAATAATAGACTTTTCCGGATCTATGTTTTCTCTCACTTTGATACTGAAAGAATTCAAAGGTTACGAATTGCCTCAGTGGGATCCCAGAAAGAGAGATGAGATGCGGTCAAATTTTCAGTTAAAGAGGGAGATGACAAACTGGTCCGCTTCTTTTGTGGTGGTAAATGAGGAACCTGCCCCTGCCTCTGCCGACCTACATGACCTTTGGGCAAAGTGGCCTGGCACAGAGGCCTGAGAACCACATCCTGGGTGTCCTCTGAGCGGCAGTGAGCCACAGGATTCAGGGGATGTGGTAAAACAGTCTGTGAACAAAGACTGATTTCTGCCCAGGAAAGGAGATTTCATTCAGCAGGGGGACTCAGCTGTCACTTGTGTCTGCTTCTGGCATTAAGATGTTATTTGATAAGAAGA